CACCATAATGTAGCTTTCCTTTTGCCTTTCCTTTAAATAATTTCATTCTAATTCTTCTTTTCCTATGGTACATAGACTTTATGAATTTAAGTGCAGTACTAGATTGGTGGCAAGGTCTCATCATTTTACAGTTGAAATGGCTAGATGTAACCGTAAGTTCTATGCTAACAGTTTCTTCTCTGACATAAGATTCACTTATTGGCATCTTGGCTTCAGTCACTTTCCTACCACCATAATGTAGCTTTCCTTTGCCTTTCCTTTAAATAAATTCTTTCATTCTAATTCTTCTTTCCCTATGGTACATAGACTTTATGAATTTATGAATTTAAGTGCAGTATCTAGATTGGTAGATGTAATCGTAGGTCTCATCATTTTACAGTTGAAATGGCTAGATGTAACCACCATAATGTTCTTTGCCTTTCCTTTAAATAATTTCAGTTTCTTCTTTTGAAAATAGACACTTTTGCAAGATTGGTGGCAAGGTCAAAAGAAATGGACCAGGCAGCCTCAACTTCTGAACTTTTTGTAAAAAGAGGACCAGGCAGCCTAAACTCTGAACTAAGATGTGTATAATGCTTTGCAAGTGTGGTATAATAGTTATAATAATGAACATAAATCCATATATACATTTTCTCTTTAAACGTTATCTTTAGGGGATACCAAGTATTTTATTTTGTCTACTGGCCTGAATATTTGACAAATCTTATGAAAGAAAAATGCACTGTTTTTCAATTGCAGCAAACTGCTTTCTCTAATGAAAACCAGATTCATGAGTGTGTCGAACACATTTTCACAACAAAACCTACGGAATTTTACTCGGAAACATCGAGGAACTGCCTGATAAGTGGTAACAAGTCATTGCAAATTATGGTGAATATATAATTGAATACAATTTAATTAACTTATTTTTTGAAGTTGATAAGCCAAAAACCAGAAATTATTTAGGACTCAAATTTCATTAGTTAATGAACTTTTGAAAGGCTTTTTCTACATGTAATATGTTATTGATAAAAAATTTTTTAGAATTCTCTTCTGGTTTCTTGCTTCCAAGTCAACATTGATTTTCAACAATTTAAATGCAATGTCAACCATTATCTTCAGCCTTCTTCATTCTTCTATTATTGTTCTCTCTCCTTTATAGTGTTCTTATTTCTCATATTCTCAGTAACCCATTGTGTACTAGTGGCTTTATTGCTTTGCTTGGGGTGAAATAATTTAAAAAAAAAACACTGTCATCTGCATCTATCAATATATATATATGAAAAATGGATAACAATGTTCAAGGTCAATGGCAGTATATTTACAAGAATAAATCTCCTGCATTGATCACATAATCTGATTTTGTGTGTATGTATATTATTTATTTAGAGTTCTTAAAATGCAATCACACTACATGCACATTTATATGTCAAGCAGCTCCAACATCTTCATAAAATTTTGGTCGTCAGTAGGAAAATATGTTGTTCGCTTCCCTGGCAACGCAAGGTTACATACAGCAAGAATAAGGCAGGCAAACGTTTTAGAAATCAGTTGGTCTTTTCTAACCTCAACTGCCATGTTCCTTGACCCTGCATCAACTGATTGTAAATCGACAGAAAATGATTTGATGTAGGAAACTACTTCTAATGTAAACTAAATTTCCAAAATTAGTCAATAACTTTTTCACCTCAAAACCTGCGAAATTTGGCTCAAAATGCATCAAACAGCTGCTTGATAATCGAAAACAATTAATTGCAAATAATGGTGAATATATAATTGAATAAAAATATAATTATACTTTTCAACGAATAAAGTTGATCAATAAAAACAAAGTATTTATAACTCAAACTAATATTTTCCTCCGAGTAAGTGTTAACAAGGTTTCAACTTTTTTTACATTGATGCCCACTGACAATACCCCTACTCCATTCTTCTCTTTAGACTTGGTCATTTGTGAAAAAAAAGTAAATATTTAAGTAGGCCAGGGAGAGAAATTTAATGATTAAAGGATAAAACTTTTACCTAAAATCTGATTTTGCAATTAGAACTGCCTGCATATGGATAGAACACAATTTTTTTTTTCATACTAATGTTTGCCCAATACAATATCCAAGAATCACTCCAAGTCGAATATTCCAGTGTAGTGTTGTATGAGCATAAGAAAAGTCTATGTAGGTAGTTCATGAGGTTATATAGGAAAGACAATGGTTTAATCTTATACTTGAAGAGGTTAAGATTATAGTGATTAGGAAAACTTTCTGCTGGGAGTCTGTTACTTAAAGCCACTGTTCTTGGGAAGAAGCAGTCAGAGTGGAACTTATTTCTTAGCAACGTAATATGAAGGGCATGAGGGTGATTCTTTGTTGTGTATGCAGCATGATGTCTCAGCTGCACAGGTCAGGGTTGGTAGAACCAATGAATGTAGCTCATCAGAGCACATGCCATAGAAATAGCGAGAGAGGCCTGCAAGCAATATTTCATCTGAGGAAAAAGGGGTTTGTAGGATGGAAAATAATTCATCACACACACACACTTTTGCACTCTATCAAGACAGGCAAGAGAGGATTCAGCAGCCCTAGCTCTGATTATGCAGCAATACTCCATTTTTGGGTCTAATTTGGTACTTGTAAAAGTAGAGTAAGGCATGTATTATGCTCTGCAAGGGTGGTGTAAAAGTCAAATACATAGTTTATTATATAATGACATCTACAAATTCATTGATGGTTGGTATGATAGACTCATGAATGGCTAAGATAGCCCGACTGAATAATTTATGTGGTGAGTTCAAGACCCAATAGACATTTAAGATTAGGGCATAAGACAAGGATGCATCTTCTTGCTGGATTTATGCAATCTATAAAAATGAGGACACCTATCTGGATTTATTATTGATGGCTACAATCTCAACACAAAACACACATATGAAATAGTGTTAATGGCAGACAAAGAAATAAAAATGCAGAAACTTCTAGACAAAGTAATAAAGGAGAAAAGGAAGAAAGGACTATCAATTGTAAGAAAACAAACTGCATTGTCATTAGCAATTGGTACAACCTAAAATGTAAGCTGTAAATTAGTAGTAGGAATTCATTTATCTTGCAAAACAATGGTAGCCCCGTTTTTGGTCAAACATTGTCCTTTTGTGGAATGACTTAACAGACCAATCCTTGCATGATACTCTCTTCTGCAGACATGACAGATGTAGCAGGAATGGGGTATGGAGGTCTGACATTGCTCTCTCTCTGCTTCCTTTATTCTCTTTTTATCTCCAATAGAGGTTTCGCCTTTTCCCGGCCTTCATGACGTCTTCTTGAACAGCATAGTGCCAGCTGGGAACAGTTACTAGAGCTGTTGTCCGTGTTTTAGGTGCCACTTGCAAACGACCCTGAAATGTAATGTTGAGCAGCCGACTGGATGGTGTCCCATGACCAGCTCACCATACATGACGTCTTTTTGTATACAATTGTCATTCATACGATATATGTGGCCCAGCCATCAGAGATAACATTAATAAAAAGGAAGATGCATGCTCAGGAATCTGCATCCTCCAGCACAACAGTGTTGGTAATTTTGTCTCTCCATGTCGAGGATACATCGTAGGCAGTGGAGAGGGAAGCCTTTTCCTGCATGATGTATGTTTGTCTAGGTTTTGCTGCCATAAAGCAGAGTACTAAGGACACATGTCTGAAATAGATTTAGTTTGGTGCACAAGGTCAGCTGACTGTTGTCCCATACTCTCTTGCTCAATTTGGCCATCATTACTGCTGCAATGTGTTTGTCAATTTCAATGTCAAGTTGCTGGTGATAGTAGAACCCATATACTTGGTTGGTGACTTCCAGCACCACACCATCAATTTTGATTGCTGGAGATGTACAAACATCTTGACCCATGACATTTGTTTTTTTTTTATGTTAATAGTCAATCCAAATTCCTTACAGGCATGACTAAAATGATTAATCAGCTTTTGAAGATAGTGTTTGGTGTTAATGGTCAGAGCTGCAGCCAACAGCATTTCTTTGATGAGAAATGTATGCACCTTGGTCTTTGCCCTCAGGTGAGCCAAGTTGAGTAATTTGCTGTTCTTTCTTGTGTGCAAGTATACACCTTCTTCGGCTTGTCTGAATGCAAAGCTCGATAAGAGAAAAGAAGATACCAAACAAAGTTGGTGCTAAAACGCATCTTTCTTTTATGCCATTCAGTGAAGGGCAATGACGTTTTGCCATCACAGCTGACTATCCACTGTATGTTCTCATGAAAGGAGGTGATAATGCTCGTGGAGGAGGGATAGCCAGGTTTCATTAGTAACTGAAAAAGACCTTTCCTTCTAACAAAGTCAAACACCTTTAAGAGATCGATGAAGGTGATGTATAATGGCATCTGTTGTTTGTAACATTTTTCTTGGAGCTGATATAGAGAAAAGATCATGTCAACTGCGGATATTTTAGCCCTAAATCCACATTGTTATTCTGGATAGATGTGATCAGCAAGGACTTGGAGTCATGATAAACCATTCGGACAAAGACTTTTCCAGCAATACTTAACAGGAAGAGACCCCGGTAGTTATTGAAGGCACTACAAATGCCCTTATTTTTATACAGGGTAATTATCTTGACGTTGTGCATGTCCTGAGGAACTTTGACTTCTCTCCAGCTTTAATCCATCACTTACATGCTCATACCCTAGGGAAAGGTATTAATCCTCTTCTTCTCCCTCCAGCTATGGATAAATAGCAAGATAGACTGGGTTCTATAGGCAACTGGTCTAAGAGAAGGACCTCTGTAAATTCAAAACCTGTGGAGGGTCGTTTGGGGAGTGTACCAGGTCTCTATATTTGGCCCTTCAAAAAGTGTGGTTAGTTCTACACAAAGCCTTTGCCACTATAATCAAATCGTATGTGCTGGTGTCTGAGCTATCGGTTCCTAGGAACTGAGCTGCTTGACCCTCATATGTTGAATACGATGGGAGAGCCCATCATATATATATATATATATATATATATATGAAGTAAATTGTTACTTACTGATATATGCTTCGACTGCTTGAACAAGTTTTATATCAAACTGTGTGACAAAGGTGATTGCCATTCCGCCTCGGCCTGAAATACAGAAATGAAAAATCAAAATTATTTTTCATCAGATAAAAATAGGACCAAGGATGAAAAAACATTTAAAATATTTTGTCCGTTTCATTTTTTACTTGATCCTTAATACACATTCTTTGTATTGCAAGAGAGTGTCACAGATTGCCTGCTTGGATTTGAGGGCAAAGATTATTTGTCTCCTCTACTGGATCAAGCCTACGTACCAAGCTAGTCCTGTTTAATCATCACTGATTTCTTCAGTCACAATATATGGTTGAACTTTCAATAAAGCTCACTGATGCGACATCTATTGGAACTCAAGTAGAATTCATATATATATATATATATATATATATATATATATATATATATATATATATATATATATATATATATATAACATTCCTGAACATACACACATATATATATTTTAAAGAGAGAAAAGTCACAATCATTTTTGATCTTGAATCCATCGAGTCCAAGTTGGATTCAGATGATTATCACTACATACAAAAGGCAATGGTTAAAAGATTTAACATGGGAAGAAAAAATCCATTCCTTTAATTAATATGGAAATAACTATTCTTCACCCGAAGAAGGTCACAAGACCTGAAACATAATAAATATACAGACAAAGTATAAAAAAATCTGCGCTATAATAAAAAATATTTGTGGCTTTTTATATCTTTAAAATATACACTTTTTCTCATTGCAACAAGAATCTCTCCTTTATATATATATATATATATATATATATATATATATATATATCGAAATAAAAGTATAAAATTTAATATTACAAGACATATTAAATGTTCAATATTAAATAAGGAAAAAATGAAAAAAACACTCAACAACACAAAGAAGGTTTGTGGTTTAAGATCCAAAGTCTTCAGAACCTTCCAGATGAAATTCAAAATGAAAACACGAACCAGTACAATCAAAATTCGGTGGACTCGTCCCGAAAAAAAAAAAAAAAAAATTACACACACATCTTTAAATAGCATAGACTATAAATTTATATATATATGTTGGCCCGTCATATATGTATTTCATCTGAAGGTTCTAGAGGCACTTTACATCGGGTCCCAAGCAAACCTTCGTTTTTGCACAAAAGAAGTGTTTGCTGGGACCTGATGTCATCTGCCTCTAGTTCCTTTCAGATATATATAAACATATATATATATATATATATATATATGTGTGTGTGTGTGTGTGTAATTTTTTTTTTTTTTTTTTTTTCCCACCTATTCTGATTGTTCTTTCTGTTTTAATTTTCAACATCTTTTAAATAGGAGCGAAACTGTTGCTTCCCCCCTGTTGTTGAGTTTTGTTTTTTTTTATTTAATATTGTTTTAATATGTCTTGTAATATTAAATTTTATACTTTTATTTCGATCATTAAATTTTGTACCTACAAAAATATCTTTATATATATATATATATATATATATATAAGTTATGAAAATCTTGGTAATCCATATGGGTAGTCCCAAGGAGGATGAAATCTTGAGAGCTCAATGTAAATCCAGATCTAATAATTTAAAGAAAAACATACCACTTTAAGGTTCCATTATAATAATTTATTTCACTAGAGCCCTTTTAAGGGACACTGGATCATCAGATAACACTTCCAAAAATGAAATGAAAGGTCTTTCAATTTAATATTTTACTCTATTTTTGATATGATGATATTAAGTATGAAATAATTTTTTTTATAATTTGTTTTTCTTTAACAGGTATTTTTAAAAAAAAAGTATTTTGAATTTTTATGTTCTTTGTGAATAAATAGAAGACATTAAAAAATAAATGTAAAGTCTTTCACAGCAAAATTAATGAAAAATGACACTTATTAAATAATTTATCTCATAAAGTTAAGGCCAAAAAATAAATTCAATAATAAATTTAATATTTCACAACTATTCTTAAAAAAATACCGCAAACATATAAAAGCGGCAACATTGTTTTGTCAATATGGTCTCTATTTTTTTCACTTTTTTGTGATTATTTTAAATAGTGAAATTCACTAAAATGTCATTAAGAATTTTGTCATAGTTAATTTAAATTTTTTCATAATAACAAATATATTGATTATAAAATTAATTTTTTAATGAATAATTTGTGTTTACTTTATAACATGTGAAGTAAGTTGATACTGTCCTTGTAAGAAACAAAATGATGTAACGTTTCCTATTTCCTATTCTACTATACGGACATTGGCCCATTTGAAAAAAATTGAATAATTGTTTATGATATTATCCTTAGAAAAACAAATATATTGACATAAAAATTTAAAAAATATAATTATTTACAGGTATTTAAAAAATGTATGTTGAATTTTACTAGCATTGTTGCTAAAAAATGTAAAACAAAATTAACCAGTTTAATGTTTTTACAGCAAATTTAAAAAGAAATATACTGCAAAAATATTAAACTGGTAAATGTATTTTACTGGGGAGGGGGTGATTGATCTGCACCTCCCACCCTGTAAATTTTACATTTTGAAACCTGAATTATGAAGTCCAAACCTTCCAGTATGCGTTTTATACACTTTTTAGAAGTACCATATAATTTTTTACAAAATAATCATTTAGCTAATATTTTTTAATTTCATTTCCCCAAAAGCTTTCTAAAAATGATCAAAAAGTGCTGTCTAAAATGAGGTTCGTGTATTTCATGTTCCCTAAGATCAGAATGAGCAAGAACAATGCTTAAAGGTTATTCCTAGAGACAACACCCTTGACAACCCAAACACTGTTGTTTGTGAAAGGCATTTTCCATTTCATTATGAAACATTAGTTATTAGAGGAAAAGTATGACCCAGAAATCCACCATCAGTATTTGATCATTTGCCATCAAGTGTATTACCTAGTCCTCAACCAAAACAGGGAACAACAAATAAAACTTGCTTCTGTGCGAAATGTGCAAAATGAAGAGTTGGCACAGTTTCTAGAAAAAAGGACAAAATCCTCACTTTTAAAAATTTGTATCAGAATATTGATCAACAGGATTTTGTGTCAGCAGTTACATGTTATAAATCAATCTACTGATTTTTTCATTGGAGGTATTCTAATATTTTTAATCAAAATTTTTGAAAATTTAAGATTCGAATATTATCATGCTAGTATATATACAACAATTTTTTCTCTTTCAAAATGTCAAAGTTTCTGCAGTGGTCACAAATCAATAAAGCAATTCATTATTTTAGTAACTTAAAAAGTGATAACAAAAAAAAAGTTTTAAAAGAACATGTCACAAAGGATTGGGACAAAACATTATGATTCTGAGATTCTTATCAGGGAATTTGAATATTTTGCTACATCTTGGTCATTATATAACAGATTTCAGGATGATTTTAAGTTACCTAGTGTGAGAAGTGACAAAAAAGCAGACACCCAGTGTCACCTTTGACATCAAAAGTCTCAAAATTAGGTGACACTGATTTTCTTGGTGATAATTTTAGTAACATTTCTGAAAATCAAAATCTAATTGATGAAGTGTATGTTAAAGTTACTCTACAATATTATGGAGGAAATTTATTTAGTTTGGCTAAAAATTCTGAGGGTTTACCAAAAACAGTATTGGGCATCATGATAAAATGTTTAAATGGTGGACCAAAAATTTTTACTTAAAATGATCCCAGTTGAAAAATTAAATGCGACTTTTTGTATGAAAAAGTTTTATATATTGTTGATGCAATCAAACAATTAAATGGCCAAGTAATTGCAATTGTGTGTGAGAACAACAGGACCCACCAATCTTTCAAAAAAATTTGACACTGTTTTTTAATAAGTCTTGGTTAACTAAAAATGGCTTGTACTTTTTGATTATGTCCACTTTTTTAAAAAAATATCCAGAATAATTAGATCATTGAAGCTATTTTTAAATTATTGTTTTGAAGGCAAAAAGAGGACAGCAAAATGGGAAAATTTAAAAGGTCTTTTTGAGTATGAAAAAACACAATTTGTTAAGCTGTCAAAACTAACTAATGTAGCAGTTCATCCAAATCCGATTGAGCGACAAAACGTTTCCCATTGTTTAAAAGTTTTTTTGTTATCAAACTATAGCTGCCATGAAAACACACCCATTATTAAATGTGGAGGATACTTCAGAAACAGTTAATTTCATTGAAAAAGTCTTAAAATTTTGGAAGAGTGTCAAAGAAAAATATGGTGACACTAAGAAAAATAATCTACTGAAAAATGTGATATCAAATTTAGATGATGAACATCTGTTATTTTTTTCTAATTTTGGGAAAATGACAGAATAGAATAAAATTATTAATGAGAAATACTAGTTTAAGAATTGAACATTAATGCAATGGCTTAATTGATGTTTGCAGATATTTCATTAACAGTGGGTTTAATTTTGTTATGATTAGTGAATTTACCACAGACTATTTGGAAAATTAAAACAAACTTCTGGAGGTGCCTATTTGATAACAATTCAAATTGCTATTGAAAAATTTCATGTTGAAAAATCTACTTCTTAAATTAAATGTTGATGTCAAAGAATACAACTTTACTGGATGAAATTGGATGCCAAACATTTGATAACTTACCAGACCTTGAAACTAGGATCCCTAAAGATATTAAAATGTCAGTTTTGTATATAACAGGCCATGTTACAAGAATAGATTGTCCCACAGAAGAGGATTAATAATGCTCACAACACCCGGAGTACCCAGCATTTCCTATCCAAGAAGAACATTGTCATACTGGAACAACCTCCCTATTCATGTGATCTTTCTCCATGTTACTTTTTTCTTTTCCCCAAATTCCATTAAAGAAATTGGACTCTCCAGGAAAATTAAAAACAAAAACAAAAAAAAAATAGTTTGCTAAATCTGCTTTCTTGTTTTCGTAACCTAGTTTAAAAAAAGAAAAAAAAAATTATTTCCAACAATACATTTTTGGTTACCAGCAATACTTTTATGAAGAAAAAATTATTAACAATTATTCATTGTTGAGGAAAAATTATTACCAGCAATGGATTTTTGAAGGAAAGTTTATTACC